CCCATCTCCTCCAGCGGATGGCCCCTTCTCTCTGTCATCCTCATCTTAGCCCCATGTCATCACTTATTTTCAATCTCTCCCTCTCTATTGACTCATTCCCTTCTGCCTACAAACATGCCCCTCACTTGATCCTTCTGCCCGTTGCGGCTAAACTCCTGGAAAAGTGTCTACACTGGGGCCTCCACTTCCTCTCCTCTCACTCTCTTCTTCACCCCTTACAATCTGGCTTCTGACCTCATCATTCCACTGAAACTCTTCTCTCTAAAGTGACCAGTGATCTCTTCGTTGCCAAATCCAGTGGCCTTTCCTCAGTCCTCCTCCTCCTCGGCCTCTCTGCAGCCTGTCCATCCCTCTCTCCTCCTTGGTCCTCTCTCCTCTCTAGATTTTCAGGACACTGTCTCTCCTGGTTCTCCTCCTCCCTCTCTGACCCTGACTCCTTCTCTGTCTCCTTTGCTGGATCCTCCTCCAGGTCACGCCCTCTCACTGTAGGTGTCCCTCTGGGCTCCGTCCTGGGTCCTCTCCTCTTCTCCCTCAATACTTCTTCACTGGGTGAGCTTACCTCAGTGCTAATGATTCTCAAGATCTACATTTCCTGCCTTTCCTATCTCCCTTGACTTCCAGTCTCACAGCTCCACTTGTAGAGGGCAGCCCCCTCCTCCCCTTCCTCAGGCTCCCAAACATAGGAGTTGTCCTGGACCATTCTCTCTCATCCCCGCATCCAAGCTGGTTCCAAGACCTGTTGATTCTACCGCTGCCTCCTCTCCTCTGACACTGCCCCTATCCTGGGCCAGACCCTCATCGTCTCCCACCTGGACTGTTGTAGTACCTGCTTGGGGGTCTGCCTGCCTCCAGTCTCCCCTCACTCTACTCCATCCTCCATCCAGCCACCAAAGGGATTTTCCTAAAGCACGGGTCTCATCATATCACCCCCTACTCAGTAAAACTCCATTGGCTCCTTATTGCCTCCAGGAGCAAATACAAAATGCTCTGTTTGGCATTCAAAGCCCTTCAAGACCTAGCCCCCTCCCACCTTTCCAGTCTTCTTACATGTCACTCCCCAACACATACTCTTTAATCCAGTGACACTGGCCTGCTGGCTGTTCCATAAAAAAAGACAGTTGAGGCGGCTAGGTGGCGCGGTGGATAGAGCACCAACCCTGGAGTCAGGAGGACCTGAGTTCAAATCCGGCCTCAGACATATAACACTTGCTAGTTGTGTGACCCTGGGCGAGTCACTTAACCCCATTGCCGAGACAACAAAAAAAAAAGGCATCCATAAAAAAGACACTTCATCTCTTGGCTCCAAGCATTCTCTCTGGCCGTCCCCTGGAATGCTCTCTCTCCTCTGCTCCAACTGCTGACCTCCCTAGCTTCCTTTAGCTTCCATCTAAAATCCCACCTTCTACAGGAAGCCTTCCCTAACCCCTCTTGATTCTAGTGCCTTCTCTCTGTTAATTATCTCCAGTTTAGCCTGTATATAACTTGCTTTGTGTGTGTTTATTTGCATGCTGTCTCCCTCGTTCGATTATAAGCTCCTTGAAGGTAGGAACTCTCTTTAGTGACTCAAGGTCCCAGACTTGTGAGGATCCCACGAAGAAGGTACTCTGAAGATCCACTCTCCTAAAACTATACCACACGAGCCCCCGCCAGTGTGTTTACCCTTCATTAGTCAGCCAGAAGACACAGTTAGCTCAAAGCAAATAGCATCATAACAAAATATCTTACCCTTAAATCCAGGATGTACTCTCCAACAAATATTTATACATATAACATCAATGTGAAGAGTAGACGCCCATAAAGTTCAGAATTAGAGAGGCGCGCCTGCCTGTAGTTAGGGGTAAGCCATGCCAAGTAGTTGTGGTCCTTTGAAAGTTGCCATACGTCCACAACAGGCACAAGCGTGCTTTATATGAGATAGAGATGGCTTTCCTTTTCTTCTTTAAAACATGGCTGGCACAGGTAAACAAAAGTATTTATCAGGGAGCCAAACAGCTATTTTTAGAACTTCGCTTTAAAAACGCCTAAACACATTTTGTTATGATTCCTAGTCCTTTCCTCTGTACCTTCAAAGAGAAGAGACAGTTCTTGGCTGTTTTCTCTCACCTAATCAATGCACTGTCAACCCTGGCACTTTTACAGTGCTTACCAGATTTCTAGCTTTCCTTGGAGCTAAGACCTCCCCTAGCTTCCCTAAGAGCTGTGCACTCAGTCTTTATCTCAGTGTCTCTTAGAGTGACTCCCTAAATTAATTGAGAAGGCAGTTTCAGAGGGTAGAAAAAGATATTCAATAGTGACATCCCCTGTTCTCAGGCCCCTCCCAGCCCTGACATCCCCTGTTCTCAGGCCCCTCCCAGCCCTGACATCCCCTGTTCTAAGGCTCCTCCCAGCTCTAACCTTCCCTGTTCTCAGACCCCTCCCAGCCCTGACATCCCCTGTTCTCAGGCCCCTCCCAGCCCTGACATCCTCTGTTCTAAGGCTCCTCCCAGCCCTGACATCCCCTGTTCTGAGGCCCCTCCCAGCCCTGACATCCCCTGTTCTAAGCCTCCTCCCAGCCTCGACATTCTCTGCTGCTTTTTTATCATCACCATGACAGATATCAGCAAGCGTGAACATTTCCATATATGAAGAAATGAAAAAGAGGATTGCAGATGAAACCAAGGATCTCTGTTGCCTACAGCTTATTTTTTTAAGTCTCTAATAAATTTAGGGGCAGCTAGGTGACCCCATGGGTAGAACACCAGGCCTGGAGTCAAGAAGACCTGAGTTCAAAGCCAGCCTCAGACACTTACCAGCTGTGTGACCCTGGGCAAGTCACTTCACCCTGCTTGCCTCAGTTTCCTCATCTGTAAAATGAGCTGGAGAAGGAAATGACAAAGCACTCCAGTGTCTTTGTCAAGAAAACCCCAGATGGGGTTATGAAGAGTCAGACACGAGCGAAACGATTGAGAAACAAATAACTTTAACACCCTAGTGCAGATACTGCCTGCTTGGCTTCCTGAGCTTCCTCTCTTCTGCGTATTTTTAACTTTCATTGATTCTGTTTGTTCTTTTCCTTTGGCATCACCTCCACTCCCCCTGCCCCCATAAAGAGTGGAGCCAACCAACCCGCGTATGTGCCTGGCAAAGCCCGGCGTCCGCCACCTCCCGCCATGAGGGGGCAGGCATGATTCATCACGACTCTGGAACCATCGTTTGTCACTACACCCATCAGAGCTCAGGAGCCCTTACATGAACGATGGTGTAATTATTCTGTCCATGCTTCACTTTGCTTTCGTGGACCTTTTGTCATTTCTTATGGCACAGTAATAGCTAATGCTTCCAGGACAGTTGTGGTTTGCAAAGTGCTTTCTATATTCTCGTCTGAATTTTTTCTACAACCTTGTGAGTAGAGGCTCTTGTTCCCATTCTGCAGATGAAGAAATTGAAGGCTTGCTCTGGGTATCTGGAACAGGAATCGAGCTCAGATCCCCCTGACCCCAAGTCCAATATTTATCCATCAGGTCACACTGTGTCTAAATAATATTCTGCTGTGTGCGTATACCGTGATTTATTCCCCCATTCTCTAGCCAGTGACCACCTGCCACGTTTCTGTTTCTTTACAACACCAAAATGTATTTTTGTACATGTCAGCTCTTGCTCGCTTTCTGTAATGCCATTGGATATATGTACAGGAGAGGGGCCACTGAGTCAAAGGGCATGCACAAGGTAATGATCTGGGGGCTATGCTTCCATTCTCTGTTGAAGGGCCCCCCATTGTTCTGACAATCTCGGCTGCAAGATCCAACCTTCTGTATCAGGCCGCAGGTCCCCCCTCCCACACCCTGGTCTGTCTTCTGACGTCCATTCCAGCTCGGACATTCAGTAATCTCAAGACCTTTCCAACTTTTACATTCTGTTATCCAGGGACCCTTCCTTCTCTTAACACTCTCTAGTCTAGGTTCCTTCCCAGTTCTAACATTCCGTGTTCCCAGCCCTCCCATTCTCTGCTCCATGTTCTCAAGTCACATTCAAACCTAATATGGCACACCCTCTGACTCATAGGTATATTTCTACTACGTGTGTGCCTGGCCGTTTTCCTCCCATCTTGTTTACGTGAGTCTCTCCATGGAGCAGCTGTGCTTTTCCAAACTGAAGAATTCAATCCTTTGTCATACTAGATCAGCTTTTCTGTGTATAAGGTCATTGTGAACACACATAATTGAGTTTGCTTAATTGAGAACATTACACTTCTGGAGAATTTTGAAAATTTTATTTTCAACAGAAACTGAGTTAGGCAAATATTTCATCTAGGCTCTGAGCACCCAATGAAAATGAGGAAGAGCTTCCCTGGGAAGGTCACCTTTGTCCTCATCTATTTTGCTGGGCTTTGCTGCCCGTGACAAGCCTCAGGGAAAGGATCAGAAAGCACCCTCCCAGGTACAGAGGCCCCAGGCCAGACAACCTAGCAAGGAGGAGGATCCTTCAGTGTAGTGTAGACACCAGCTCTCAGTGAACCCCATGGAGCCATCTGTAAAATGGGAATAAGGAAGCTTGTAATTTTGCAGCAGAGAGGCAGCATAGGGCAGCTTCAGAAGGAGGAAGAACCTGGTGCCAGTCTTGTCTCTGTTGCTTACCAACTGCATGCCCCTGGACAAGTCACCTAACCTCTGGGTCCCAGCCAGGGCGGCAGGCTGCCTCCTTCTCCTGCTCATTCTACCATGGCCTCTCAGCCTCCCATGTGTGCTCCTGGGAGGCTAGATTCTAGAGCAGATTACAACCCTCAGGGGAGGGAGTTTCCAACCTTGGAAAAGACCTGGAGAGAGCTCCATGGTTCTCTCTGTAGAATTTGCACAACAGGGATTGTGGTGGATGAGCCCATGTCATGAGACAGGCATTCAAGAGCTCAGTAAATGCTGAAATGCTAGAAAAAATGTTCCCTCTTAGGGCATGAAATAAGCCAGGCTGCTCTGTTGGACAAGCATTCCCAAATCTCGTTTATAAAAAAATTTTCAAACTCATAGGTGTGTATGGATTGAGCAATTCTCTCTTGGAGACACCTTGGAAGAAACTTCAGTATGGGAAACAGCTGTTTGTGGATGTGATTGACCAAAGCCAGGGCCTCAGCAGAGAAGACCTGATCAGTGAGCTACTCAAAATCATGAATAATCAGGAATGGTAAGAGCTCATCTCCAGTGAATGCCTTCCTCTGGTGGGGAAGAGCTTCCCGTCTATACACCTCCCTGACTTCTCGTGGAGCTAGGGGGAGAGTGGCAGGGGAGAGCTAAGGCTTGGGGTCCGGAGACATGGCGGGTGAGCAGAGGTGTCGGGCGACTGCGTGTGCCCAGCACCCACGACCGCTGGCTGCCTGGTGAAGTGCCCACACCTCAACAAGAGATTGGCTGGGTGTTTTCCAATAAAGCATGAGACATTCCAGTAACTGCCACTAACCAGTCTCGGGCTACCCTAATTAATGCATGTTGGCCAAAAAAGGCGAGGTGGCAGGCGGTGAAGTTCCGTTTGCTCAACATTTATTAAGCATCTACTGTGTTCATTCCACAGTACTAAATGGCAGAGATACAAGACAAAAATGAAAAGCCGCCTATGTCTGCTAAGGAGACTGCTTTTACCCAGCCTCGTTTCCCTAGTGAAAAAAATAAATAAACATCACTAGTGCAGGAAGTTCCTGATGAGAAAACCCCTTGCACTAAAAGGTCCAGATTCCTTTTCAAGGCTTAACTTGCCTGGTGGGGTCATGTGTCCCGCCCAGGGTTACTCAGGAAGCAGGGTCAGAAGTAGGACTTGAACCCAGGTCTTCTTGGCACCCAGCAAGGCTGCTTCTCTATCACCTTCCCCATATCACCTTTCCCACCTGGGACACAGTGATACAAGCAGGTGAGTAAATACTCCCAGACTTGAGGAGAGCTCACTGAGGCCTACGCGGCTTCAGGCAGCACCTGAAGGTCTCATCTGAGCCAATCCTGGAAGGAAGAGAATTCCCAGAGGGAGCAATTCCAGGTGTGTGGGGGCAGTGATAGTCAGCCAAGAGCCATTTGGTCATTTTGACCCGGTCAAAGAATATGTGCGGTAAGGGAGGGAAGGTGACATGCTGAACCAGCTTGGCAAGAGCTGTCCATAACACCTCCAAACCAGAGCTCATTCTCTTTCCCCAACCCCCCTCATTTCCTTGGAGGATACCCCCATCCTTTCAGTCACCCCACTTTGTAACCCCAGGGCCACCCTCAGCTCACTCACCCAAGGACATTGCCAAAGCTCATCATTTCTGCAGCCACAACACTGTCCCACGTCTTCTCCTCTGTGCTCATGCCACCACCTTGCTGCTAGACTATGGCGATAGCTTTGCAAATAGCCCCCAACTCAAGTCTCCCCCCGCCCAAATCCACCCTCCAGCTGGTGCCAGAGAGTTTCCTAAAATGTTTCTCTGGCTTCCTCAGCCCCTCCTCAAGAAACTTCAGTTTCTCCCGATCGCCTATGGGATTGAGCAGAAACGCCTCCATTTGCCCCTGAAAGCTCTTTCTAAGCAGTCCCCTTCTCACCTCTCCTGATTTCTTATACCTTATTCCCCAACCCTTACTCTCAGCTCCAGCCACACTGGCCTTCTTGCTGTCCCCCACACATTTCCTATCTCTTTGCCTTTGCCCTGACTGTGCCGCCTGCCTGGAATGCCCTCCCTTACCTTCAAGGTTCAGCTCAAGCACCTTCTTCAAAGCCTGAGGTATTGCCTTATCATTTGACTGTTTTATGTGATTGTAAAGAGAAGGATTTCTGAGTTGTTGTGGGCCCTTAGGCCAAAGCAAACAGAATGTGGATGACAGTGAAGAAAAAACAGAAGGGAACAGTGGCTTCAGCGCCCACCCAGATGTTAGTCGGTCAGCGTTGGAAGGCCGTGTCCATCAGCATCAACTTCATCCTCCCCCGGTCTGAAACAGTCTTGTGGCCTGAGTGTTTCCGGATGAAATCTACATTATTCAACTTTTGTGCTTTGATTTCTGTAGCTGCAAAACAAAGCAGCAAAGGGCCTACTTAGAGCGAGTCCTTGGCTCTGCCGGGTACAAGCTCTGTGGCCCCAGGCAAGTGGCTTTCTCTTCCTGGACCTCTTTCCTGCTCTATAAAGTGAGGTGTTTGGACAATAAATATAGAGGGGGAGAAAAAGGCAACCTAGGGCCCAGGCTCAGTGCCTGAAGGCCCAACCAGATTCAAATGCAATTGGGAAATGTTTAACATAATACACACAAACACAACACAGCATAGATAATGGGATAAGTCACTGGGCAGCCACAGGTCATCTAACTCCATAGTTATTGCAGAGAAGGGGCCTTGAGGGTCAGGGGGACCTGAGTTCAAATCCACCCTCTGACTCACTGGCTGTGTGACTCTCTCAATGAGCTCAGGCCATTCTTTAGATGGAGGTATAGAGTGAATGCCTGATCCTCCCTGGAGATCCCTGCACCAATGAAATCAAAGGCCCAGGCCACCAAAGAGATATCACAGAGACTTGGCCTGGCATAAGGCTCCACGTGGGGGGCAGGCCTTCTCCAGAAGAAACAAACAGCTGTGCGAAGTCAAGTGGAGAGGGACAGGAGGAGAAAAGGAAGTCTTATCCAGTAAGAAGATGGTCTATGAGGAAATCCAGGAGCCAGCCTGGAGGTGGAGGCAGAACCAGGCCTGGTGATGTCCTTGGATGATCCACAGCAGGCCTGGGCAGAAGGAGGAGACCTGTTGTTAGAGAATCTGAAACAAAATCTCAGACACATAACACTTACGAGCTGTGTGACCCTGGGCAAGTCACTTAACCCCATTGCCTAGCCTTAAAAAAAAAAAAAGAAGTGTGTGAAGCGGCCTCAGACACCTAACACTTATGAGCTATGTGACCCTGGGCAAATCACTTCACCCCATTGCCTAGCCTGAAAAAAAAAAGAAGTGTGCGAAGGAAAGTCTTTATTACAATTCTTGCAAGAAGCAGGCACACCGCACCCTAGTGTGGCATGTGCATGCCCGATATGGAAGCAGAGCTGATTTTTAAATAATTACTAAAATCCACACTCCTCCCATTTGAGCTGGGATTGGACCAGCTCATTTGGGCTACACTCTTCCTAAACCACCCATCCCATGTTCCTCTTCTTCATGTTTACTCCTCCTGGTTTATACATCCCATGTTCCAAAATGGCAGTGGTCTCCCTCCCCCCCTCAGGGTGTATCAGTTAATATTCAATAAGCTCATTAAGCAAACACAGTGGAGAAAAGCCTTTGCTCAGTCCTTGACCCCAGCGGGGTTTAACCTTGAGGGCTCTGTCTTAAGGAAGCAGGGGTTTGCAGAATGTTCTGGACACTTTCTGGTTGGTTGAGGGACAATCTACAAGGTCTTGGAAGTCCTCAGAATTCCCGTGTTCTGCTGTGGAAGCCTAACTTCTAAATCTTTCCCACACCATGGAGCGTTTGAGTCAGACTGCAGGCCTGGCACTGAGACTTGTTCAAATACATGTGGCCCATTCTGTTGAGCGGACAGTTGTCTTCAGGCATTTGAAGGGGAATCAAATGGAAGAGGGATTCTCAAAGGTTTTCTGTCCCCTTCCCTACTCCAGGGTTAGTAGCTAGCACCTCTAGCATAGGAAATTTCATCTGTTTTATTTTTCAAGAGGCCAAGGGGCCCTGGTTTACAATTAGGCTGTGTTCCCGGCTCTGTGAGAAGACCACAGAGCTTGCTACACCTGTGTGTCCTTTGATAGTTTGCAGGCTCCCTGGCATAGAAATTGACATTTTAGATCCAAAGTATAAAATATTATTTCCAACTTAAAGACGATTCCCCTAAGGTCCTGGGTTCTAACTCCATGTGAACTAGGTGGTGTGGTCCATGATAGAGAACACTGGAATGAGAGTCAAGACCTTTGGACTCCTGCCTCAGCTTCACTACACTCGTCCTGTGGCTTCGAAGTTGCTAGTGGTCCGTGGGCCTTCTCAGCACCATCCGAGAAACGAGAGAGTCAGATCAGATGATCCCCACAATGCTTTCTAGCTCCAAAAATCTGTAATGCTTGTATTCTTGACCCATGGTACATTTTAATTCCTTATATTATATACAAGCTATGGGGGTCTACTGTATTTGGATTGATGGCATTATATTATGATTGAAAGATAATGAATTTACCCACATTTACAAAAATATTTATAGCAGCTCTCTCTGTGGTGGCAAAGAATTGGAAATTGAGGGGATGCCCATCGATTGGGGAATGGCTGAGCAAGTTGTGGGATATGAATGTAATGGAATCCTATGGCGCTATAAGAAATGATGAGCAGGCTGACTTCAGAAAATCCTGGAAAGACTTGTATGGCCTGGTGCTGAGTGAAGTGAGCAGAACCAGGAGAACGTTGTACACAGTAACAGCCACGTTGTGCGATGACTAACACTGATAGACTTGGCTCTTCTCAGCAATACAAGGATCTAAGACATCTCCAAGGGTCTCATGATGGAAGACGCTATCCCCATCCAGAGAAAGAACTGTGGAGTTTGACTGCAGATGGAAGCAGACTATTTGCTCTTTTTTTCTTCTGCTTTGTTTTGTTTCCTCTTTCTAGTGGTTCCTCCCATTAGTTCTAATTGTTCTTTACATCACGACTAATGGGAAAATATGTTTAACATGAATGTCTATGTAGAGCCTTTATGAGATTGTGTGCCATCTTGGGGTGAGGGGAGAAGTGGGAGGGGGAGAAAATTTAAAACTCAAAAGCCTATGGAACTGAATGTTGAAAACTAAAAATTAATTAATTAATTAATTGGTTTAAAAAAAAGAAAGATAATGAGTTTAGAACTAGAAGACCTAGGTCCAGGTCCTGCATCTTCTGTTTACTCCCTTTATAAATGTGAGCAAATCATTGACTCCTGAACCAGTCTCCTCATCAGTAAAGTGGGACTGCTTACAAGGATACAAGGAAATTATGTTTGTGAAAGTGCTTAGTAAACTATAGAGTTTTATGTAAAAGTCATCTCTTGTCATGTCAAAGAGAAGCATAAAAAGGTAAGCATTAAAGAACAAGCATAAACTGCTTACATTCTATGGAAACATTCTCTGTTGTCCTTTGTCCTCTGTTCTCAAAGAGGACCATGACATTGGAAAGGTGACATCGAGACTTCTAAGTGAATTGGATTTAAGTGAGGCAAGGCTGTGCAGAGTCACCAGCCTCACTCTCTCCTCTGGAGCCATGTGGGCCCAGGGGCCAGATGTAGATGAAGAGAACTGCAGATGGCCCCGAGGCAGTGGGAGACCTTGGGTGTTTTGTTCCCAGGTCTCAGTTTGTCTGAGGCAACACCCTTCAGTGATTAAGGCTAGGCAAGAAATGAAGCAAAGAATGGCCTCTTTTACCTAGTCAAAAAAAAAATCAATCTGGGAGAGGAAGACTGTCAGGGTTTCTGGCCAAACCAGAAACAATTGCTATTTATACTCACTCTAAGCCATCAGAGCCCAGAGTATGACCAAATAAGGCTTGGGCTGGGACCTAGTGTTTCTGTTTTGGAGGGAAATAAAGGGAGAATAGGGAAAATCATCTCATATAATTGGGGTGCTCAAGTAGAAATCGGTATAAACAATGATGAAGGGGCTGGGGGCACAGGTGCCATTTGAACCTCTTTCTCATCTGAAGTGGTCAAAGGAAGGAAGAATACAAGAATACGTGTGCACACACACACACAAACACACACACACACACACACACACAGTGTTGGGTACAGAAATACATTTCACCCAACAGGGAAACAAGAGGGAAAGGAAGAATGGAGAGGAAGGAATAAGAGTGAGGGTAGATTAAGGGAAGGATTAGTTCTCAGCAAAACAAACTGAAGAAGTACAAAAGTATTCATAGCAGCTCTTTTTGCAGAGGCAAAAAATTGGAAACTGAGGGGGTGCCCATCGATTGTGGGAGGACTGAGTGATTGATGGTGTATAAATGTGATGGAATATGATGGTGTTGCAAGAAATGATGGAGGAGATAGAATTAGTAGAGAGTGAAGGGAGCAGAATTAGGAAGAACAATGTATACAATGACAACAATAAGGTCAAGACAAACCCCTTTAAAGACTTGATATGCAGAATTGCCAGTCGATTCCAGGAGTCCTGATGCATTGTGCTGCCCAGCTCCTGACAGAGAGGCGATGGGCTCATTCATTTCAGGCCCACTCTTTGTGACCCCTTTTAGGGGTTTTCTTGGCAGAGATACTGGAGTGGTTTGCCATGTCCTTCTCCAGCTCATTTTTACCAGTGAGGAAAGTGAGGCAAACAGAGTGAAGTGACTTGCCCAGGGTCACCCAGCTAGTAAGTGAATGAGGCCAGATTTGAACTCAGGAAGATGAGCCTTCCTCACTCCAGGCCCACCACACTATCCACTGTGCCACCTAGCTGCCTTAGAGACTTTTTTAGACATGGACAGTTCCAAAGTTTGTTTTGCTTGACTGTACATGTACGTAATGAGGGTTTTGTTTTTCTTTCTTTTTTGATCTAGGTGGGGGAAAGTGTAAAGAAGGTAGATTTTTACTGAATAAAAACATAAATAAAATTTAATTTAAAAAAACAAACATTTTAAAACACTATGTAAATTTTTTTAAAATTATTTTTATTATGAGACCTGAGGTGGGAAAGGTTGCTACCAACAAGAGGACCAGGAAAGCTCGCTGGGGGAGGCAGCGTGGCTCCCCTGCTCACACCAGAGAGGGATTCAGCAGGCAAAGAGAAGGAAGGACATTGTAGGCATGGAGAATGTCACGTAAAAGAGTAAAGGAGTGGAGGCGGGAAAATGGAGGGCATGTTTCAAGGTAGTGAGTTGTCCGGTTTGGCTGGAGCACAGAAGGGACTCCCATGCGATAAGACAGGCAGAGGTGGATGGGGATGGATGTGGGGTCTTCCCTAGCTGGGATAAGCACTTGAATGAGTCAGTGAGAAAGCCTGGAGATGTTGTCAACAGAAGAGTGATTGGACCAAGCCAAGATGGTGCCTCTGGCCTCGGGGCGAGGGGTGGGGCGAAAGCGTGTGCTGGAGCGCACTGTCCTCTGGTCTAAGCGTGAGAAGTAACATCTCTTTGTCTTCCCAGCCAGTTGCCAGACCCTGCCCTCGAAGACCAGGGCAAGGACTATATCCTGCCCATCCTGAATAAATACGCAGCTGTGTGTGTGCGCTGTCCAGGGTATGGCACCAGGTAAAAATACATCTGTATGTTCAAGGCATTAAGGCAAAATGAAATGAATGGATGACATTGACTTAGTGGTTTGTGCATGTTCATCATTTAATTCACCGAATGTCTATTAAGCTTCTCCCTATTCCTGGGCTGTGCCTGGGCAGGGACCCAGCCTTCAGGGTCTGGCGAGGAGGGACAAGACATACATAAGGAACTCTGGTACGACATGGTAAGTGCCCAAGAAAGGCCAAACCCAGAGGGATAAGCACGGGGTGGGGTGTGCAAGGGAGGGGTGGAATCACTGTTGCTTGGGGCCATCAGGAGGACTTCCTGGAGGAGGGCTGTAGACTTGGGCCTTGGATAGAGAAAAGAATTTCAACCCATGGAGGTGTGGGGAGTCCGGCCCAGGCTTCTGGGAGGCACAGAGTTGGACTCACACCATTCTTTTTTCCTGCTATGACTTCCTGCCAAGGAGGTTTCTCTCACTCATGGTTGGCTGCAGGCAGACCAGGGCCTCAGAGTTTCTGTCCCTGAAGTCAGCACACCATGCTTGGAAGGCTTCTGGGGCTCTGGCTGCTAATAAGAGCGCTCTGGGAGGCCTGAGGGGTGGGCAGGACAAGTCTGACCCCCAGATTCACCTTCACATGGAACCTCCAAGGCAGATCTCAGAGGCCCCCCCAGAGGGGAATGCCCCATACGAGATCCCCACCCAAGGCCAGCCTTTGCTCAAGACTTCCAGGAAGGGCCAATGCATGACCTCTCACTGGGGGCCCCCATCCCTCTTTGGCCTGGTTCTGATTGGTAGAAAGTTTTTCCTGACATTGAGAAGATTTGCCGCTTCCACTCACTGTCACCCTCCTCCCCCTTGACCCTCCCATGCTCCCTATTCTGTCCCCTGAGACCAAGGGGAGCAAATCTAGGCTTCTTCCAGACCCTAGGTCCCCAGATACATGAGTCTGGCTCTCATAGCGTTGTACAGAGGAGGGAATGCAGCCAGTAAGCGCTTCACCTGGGGGTCTTCTGACTAGTTGACTCTCTGGCATAAGTCCACACTTACTATATTACTTGTATGGTCTAGCTCCAACACCTTCCCCCAGCTCTGGCACATCAGAAGTCACGTGCAACAAGGTGAGAAAGGTGTGTGGAGGGCCATCAAAGGGCCTTCCTGGCTGAGGAGTTTGAGCTTTATCCTCCTCCCTGGATCAGGGCAGTGTCAACAGACCCATGCCTTAGATGGATCCTTTGGGCAACTCTGGAGGGTGGTCTGGAGATGAGAGAGACTGGAAGTCAGGGAGCCAGCCAGGAAGCTATTAAAGCGATCCCTGGAGAGGTGATGGGCACCTGGGGCAGCTGTGTGGCCAGAGAGAAGGGGCCATGTGAGAAATGCTCTCCTGGGAGGGCAGAACCACAGAGCCTGAAAACGAAATGGGAGAAACGGAACATGAGCAGGGATGGGCCTCAGAAAACAGAGGGGAAGGGGCTTGGAGGGCTGCCCTCCCTGTTCCTTCCTTCCCCTCCCTCACGGTTCCAAGGGGGGCTCTGAGGGGAGACAAAGCAGGAAGAGGGTGTCCTGAGGGGTGCCGCAGGACTGGGTTCTCCCTCTATGTGTGACCTTCAGAAAGTGAGTGTATCTCAATAGGAAACAGCCGGTGAGGATTCTAATAAGAAGAGTGTGCATTTCTAGAATTTTGCAAAAGTCACAAAATTTTGCCATACCCTTTACAATTATGTTTAGTCTTCCTGACTCCTTGCCCAGCACCCTACACACTGTGCCACCAGCTGCCCTAGTGACTTGGCTTCAGAAGTCACAAGATTTATAGCTAAAAAAAACCTTAGAGATCATTTTTTACCTTCTAATTTGACTGGTGAGGAAATGTAGGTCCGTAGAGCTTAACTGGTTTGCCCAGTAGCCCAATAGAAAGTCGAAGAACTGGTTCGAACTCGCAACCTCTGATGCCAGACCACTGTCTCACTGCGCTGGATCATCCCCGTCGGGGGTGAATCAGCCTGAGCTCTGCCCGAAAAGCGCAGAACTTGGCTACGCAGTTTCCCCATTCAGTCGCCGATGGGGTCTGCCTGGCAGTCCTGTGAGAATGTCAGACTCTCGGGGCAGCCTCTGGTGGGTACGAGCAGAGAAGATCCAGGTCTAGGGAAGGATCAGGGCACTGTGTGATTGACACAGAGGCGGGCAGCCGTGGGTGGGCTGGGTCCATTAGGACCCTCCCTCTCATCGTTAGGACTCTCCCTAGCCCAGGAAGCCCACGAGGAGAGGCCTTCGAAGAGGCTTGTAGTAGGGCCTGCCTGAGTACCTGAGGTGGAAAAATGTGTCCGTGCCGTCCAGAGGGAGAAAGGAGCTATTTAGAAAAGAAATGAAGACAAAGCGCAAAGACGGGTGTGGTTCATTTGATTTGTGTCAGACTGATTGCTACCCAAACTCAGTTTTCTCTCACTCATCAATATTAAAGCGTTCTCATTGAGTCTGCTCCGCCTTTCGCTCTTTGTCTCCCTGGGGGTTGTGGTTCCTCTGTCTGTCTAACTGGACACTGCCCGGATTCCCGGGGACCTGGGAAGAAAGGAGGAGGAGAGCAAAGCGTTGGCCCTTCGGGGAAGCAGGGGGATTAACTGGCTTTCTCCTGTGGCTTCTTTCAGAACCAATACCATTGTTCTCATTGACGCCGAAGGGGAAGTCACTTTCACCGAGCGCAGCATGATTGATGGGGACGTCAGCCAGTGGAAGACCAACACCTACACTTTCCAGCTGCAGAGCGAATAACTTTGCATCTGAATAGGCGCCGCTAAAAGAAACCAGAGAGAATGGGGGCCGCTCCCGAGACCACCTTGTACAAATCCCAGAACTAGGCGCTGACGGCAGCTGCTTCTGCACCATCCACACACCAAGAACCTCCGCACAGCGCCCGAGACAGAATATTCCAAGTCAAGAATTTGCCCTGACTTTGCAAAATTTATTTATTGCCTCTTCAGTATTCCTTGTAAGTGTCCAGTGCAAACCTGGCCTAAACTTTGTTAGATGATGGCGGTGGAGATCAGCCAATTGGTACCTCGGCAGCTGGTCACTCGCTTTAGCTGAAGATTCCTAAATCGAATCCTAACTTTCCCTAAGATTCTATGCAGTGACGCTGGAGCCCCCTCACTCATCACCCCGTATGGGGTGCCTGTGAACATAAAAGGGAGGGGCAGTCGTGTTTTCCAGACCAGGCTTTCCCTCTTAGAGTTTTCCACTTGGTTTACCCTGATCTTTTTAAAATTAAGTCAAAACCGTAGGAAACCTTTGGGTGAAAACAACACAGCTTCACCCACTTGTTTCAGATAGGCCCCCTGGTATCCTTTAATCACAGACAATAAACTTCAAATGAAATGCATGTAGGATCCCAAGGAAAGCCAGTTCTGAAAACACAAGCGAACCTGACACCTGGTACTGAGACAGCGGAGTGTCGGCTGAGGGCCTTGTGCCCTGCCAGTCACAGCTGAAGAGTCAATTCTGGTTCGGAGCTCCCTCCACGACTCTATCCCCGTACAGTCTCTGACCCTGGAAGTCAGGGCCGGTCAGTTCAGTCACTGAAGGCAAGGAGCGCCTGCTCTCCAGGGAAATCCTTCTGTGCCCCTCACTTATTCCCTAGGAGAGAGAAAGTCAGTCGGAATATGTGAATGCAATCTGAAAAGGTGCCAATAAAATGCTCATTGAAAATGGAATGATACATCTGTAGGCAATCACATGTTCGCTTTCTAATGGTGGACGAAACAGAGTGGGTGATGGCGAGATGCGGTAGGGAACAGGCACTCAGTGTGGCGTCTTCAGAACTAATGTCTGCTAGTGTGGCCTCATGCCTCTCTGGGGTCTAGTAGGTGTCCTCGATGCTAGGGGAACCTTGGGGACACTGCCCTGGGCCACAGAAGACCTGGCCTTGAATCCTAGCCCTAACCCTCTCCTGGCTTCAGTTTTCTCAAATGTAAAACAAGGACTTGGACTCCCAAAGGGGTGGTTTTAAGGAAAGTGTTTAGTAAATGGTAAAACTCATGTGAAACATCCTGGGCATGGGAGGCCCAGAAGCCAAGAATCTCAGAGGTGGGACAGTCCTTGAGCTATCTAGACCAGTCAGCAGCTGAATGAGAATTCCCCTGTACAGCCCAGCTAATAAGCAGCAGCCTCCCCCTTCCCAGTCAGCCCATTCCACTTTGGGATGGCCCCTTAGGACGTTTTCTCTTCAGACCAGGTCTGAATTTGCCTCAATTCAATTTCCATCCACCCTTTGCTCCTAATCCTGCCCTGCAGGGCCAAATCTAATCCCGGTTCCTTTAGTGCTTTTTTCAGTGGTGTCCAACTCTTTGTGACACCTTTTGGGGTTTTCTTGGCAAATTTACCAGAGTGGTTTGCCATTTCCTTCTCCACTTCATTTTACAGTTGAAGAAACTGAGGCAGATAGGGTTAAGTGACTTGCCCAGGTCACACAGCCAGTAAGTGTCTGAAGTCAGATTTGAACTCAGGTCTTCCTTACTGCTGACCTGGTGCTCTATCTGATGCGGTTTAGGGGTTCAGGGTTCCTGAGACCCCAAAATCACAACACATGTGTCCTTGCCCGAAAGAATTCGACCCAAGCCTTCTTTCAGCCAAAGACGAGGTTTATTAGAACATCCATCACATTGGGCAGACTCTTAAGGAGTCAGAACATTAGTAAACTATTGGTTTACTGGCTAGATTATAATCTAAGCAGTGGCTAGATTATAAAAATCTGAGCCGTGGCTAGATTATAAGAATCCCAGCATTTTAATGGAGACAAGGTGGACTTTATACACAGAAAGACTGTGGGAGGGACCTAGGAGTGGCCGGTAAACTGGGGTGAACAGAACTTCTGGGACCTGGACCTCTTGGCCAAGGGAGAATGGAGCTAGCTAGGATTAAGGGTGGGAAATGGCCAGGGGCCATAGAGAGGTAAGACAATTGGAGGGGAGAGTGGGTGTAGCCAAAACGAAAGGCCAATTGATGGGATTATAGCCTCAGGGGAAACGCCAGAGATTTGGCCTCGTGGGAAAGTCCAGGGTTTTTCCTTTCTGGGGCCCAGATGCCAACCCCATCATATCCACTGTGCCACCTAATTGTCCCACGTAGCCTAGCATCTATGTCACACTAGTGATTCTCATTGAGCTTCCATCCCTCCAAGTCCCCGGTGCTTTTTTCAGATGTCCTACTCTTGATGAACTTCCCCCTTTCTTATATTTAGGAAGTAGATTTTTTTTTAACCCAAGTGTAACGCTTGACATTTATCCCTATTTGATTCAACTTCTAAAGACCATTTTGTTTCCTGTCATACCGTGCGCTGGCCAGCTGTTCCTGATATTTGATGGTCGGGGCTGTCTGTGCCCTTATCCAAGTCACTGATAGAAACATGCTAAAAGCTGTAAGACAAGCAGAGCCCTAACATTCTGCACCAGTGGCTGCCTCTGGAGCTGACAGTGTGCCATTTGCTCTTTGGATCTAGTCATTCAAGTTCCGGATTCATCTAGTTTTGTGATCGAAGAGCTGATGCAGTTTAAGGATTCAGGGGTGCTGGGACCCCAAAATCACAACACGCAGGTCCTGTCCAAAAGAATTCGACCCAAGCCTTCTTTCAGCCAAAGACAAGGTTTGTCAAAACATTGGTGGTATTGGGCAGACTCTTAAGGAGCCTGAACATTAGTAAGCTATTGGCTAGATTGTAACAATCTCAGCATCCTAATGAGACAAGATGGACCTTATATGCAGAAAGCCTGTGGGAGGGATCTAGGAGTGGCCATGAGGCAATAAAATTACCAAGGGTGGAAAGTGGCCTGGGGCCATAGGGAGGCAAGACAAATGAGGACCAGGCTAGGTCAAGGATAACAGAATTGGGAGGGTGGGTGTAGCCAAAACGAAAGGCCAGTTGATGGGATTATAGCCTCAGGGGAAACGCCAGAGATTTTGCCATGTGGGAAAAGTCCAGGGTTTTTTCTTTCTGGGACTCAGATCCCAACCCTATCAGAGCCACATCTGCCATCTTTTCCGCAAGAAGAAACATTTTATGTTGGGGGTATACCTGTGAGCAGGACGCTAGCATAGCCAAGATAATTCACAACTCTAATGGGGCTGGATTGCTAATGTCTGCTAGTGGGGCCTCATGCCTCTCTGGGGTCCATTAGGCGTCTTCCATGCTAGGCCTCTTTGGGCAACTAGATGTCACCACAGTGGATAGAGTGCCAGGCCTGAGTCAGGAAGACTCATCTCCCTGAGTTCAAATCTGGCCTCAGACACTTCCTAGCTGGGTGACCCTGGGCAAGTCATTTAACTCTGCCTCAGTTTCTTCACCTGTAAAATGAGCTGGAGAAGGCCATGGCAAACCACTCCAGTATTTATGCCAGGAAAACCCCAAATGGGGTCATGGAGAGTTGGGTGGGACTCAACGACAATAACTGCTTGGCCTCCTCCTGCCATGCTTGTGGAGGCTCCACTTGGCTTGTGGCCTGTTTCTGCCCCGACTTCTTGGCTCTGGTGGCCATCCCAGCTTCCATCTGACAGGGCGCAGGGACTAGAAAGCATCTCTCTTCTAGGGGATGTAGTGAATCTCCTGCCCCCAGCTAAAAGGGAGCTGTGAAGGGAGAGTGCTCCGGGCAGGTTAAGATTGAGTCTTTTCTTTTGCTATTCAGTGTCTGGGGCTGAATCACATTCCATTGTTCCACACCTTTATCTGACGGAGTTAGAAATTCTTAAGGAAGGCTCTCAGGGGTTTATATGCTAATTTAAACTAATCCTCCAAATTCCTGGGCAAAATCCCTGCCTGTGTTATATACATTGATCACCAGCAGAATCCTTCTGCTTTGGTACTTCCTGGGGGAGGGACGGGGAGAACCTGTGAGAGTACATTTAATGCCTTCACCCATTTCCAAACCTATAGTTCTTCTCTGGCTCCCTACCAATTATATCTGCTGGGTTTTTCAGTACCTTAGGGCATGTTTCACCTGAGCCAGGTCAATTCAACAAGCATTAAGTGCTTGCTGTTTGCTAGAAGCCAGACATTTTAAAAGACCAAACAACACTCACAGAGATAAAAGGGAGGGGAGTCACCGAAAACCGTAGACCCAAAGATGTTCCGTGCACGACACTGCAGTTGACAAGGACTGGGGGTTGATCCTGAAAGGTAGACTATGGCAGGCATGGTGGACAGCCTGGGCAGAGTCATGGTGGATTAACCTGTTCAAAGAAAAGCGAGTAGAGTTTCACTATAACATAAAGCCTCTGAGGGGGAATAATGTGAAATTGGGCTGCTAGGTGGCAGAGTGGATAGAGCACTAGATTTCAAATCAGGAAGACGTCTTCATGAGTTCACATCCAGCCGCAGAAACTTGCTGTGTAATCCTGGGCAAGTCATTTAACCCTTGGGAAAAATTATTATTTCTCTCATATTAATGATCAATTGTTGACTTAGGAGCAGGATTTTCCCCGTTTCCTCATTCAGAAATCACCACCCACCCCCACCCCCCAGGTTATCAGCCAGCATCTGAAGGACCTTGCTGATAATGGGATTGGATTAACTTTCTCCTCGGTCTTGTTCAGACCCCACCCAAGTGGGGAGGGCCATGGGGGAAGGGGGATAGACCGTTTGTCTAGATTGTCACTGCCCAAGACTGGGGGTGGTCTATAATGGTAATTCTTTCCATTAATTTTAACCAATCAGAGTTGATTGCCATCTGTGGGAACACCCACTCTTCCAAGGACATTTAAGCATCAAGAAGTGGCCATGCTCCATCTTTGGTCCATGAGAGATGGCCAAATGACCAAACCTTTTATTAATTATTTGCTAGTCATAATTAATAAAAATTGTTGATTACCCAGAAATTACTGCTCTCAATTTTTTTATACATCACACACCCTGTTTGCCTATCTGTAAAATAAGCTGGAGAAGGAAATGTCAAACCACCCCAGTATCTTTGCCAAGAAAACCCCAAATGGGGTCAGGAAGAGTCAGACACAACTGAACAAGGGCGTGAAATCCGTAGGAAAGGCTAGGCTGGTGCACAGGGGAAGGAGGCTGTGTTTGACCCCAGAGGCACGCAGAGAGGAGCTGGAGATTGCTGAGCAGGACCAGCCCCTTGCTTTAAGAAGGTTATTGTGGCAACCTTGTCTTCCACCATTAAGGTGCTGTTGTACTGCTGCCCTGGGGCTATTTCCTTACTCAAAGTCTAGAATTTAGCACCTGGGTTGCAGCAGGGTTTGGCCAAAGCCCACCCCAGATGAGGATCTCGGGCTGACCTCTGCCTTGGTCACACCTCATTACCAATGCTGTGTCCAGTTCTGGATGCCATCTTGTAGAAGAAACATTGACAAGTCATAGAGTGTCCACAGGAGGACAGCCAGGGTGGGGATCAGCAGAAGGAAGAATGCTTGCTGAGAGACCACATGAGAGCTGTCTTCCCATAGTCTGTGATAGATTGTGAGCCAGCAATGGGAGCCTCTTTGCTATTCTTCTGACAAGACATCTCCCTTGTTCTCTCTACCTCCTGGCTTCCAAGTCCCAGTTAAAGTCCCATCTTCCAGAAGAAGCCTTTCCTGATCTCCTGAATGCCAGTGCCTTGCCTCTGAGCTTACCCCAAATTTAGCCTGTATCTTGGGTGCACAGACGTGTTTGGGGTTGTCTCTCCCATTTGTCTATGAGCTCCTTAAGACCAGAGACTCTCTCTTGCCT